ATAGTGCCTTCATATGCCCGTCCACAGAAGATAAAGCTCTTGCCTCATCACAGCCGTGCGGGGCGCTTTGTTTGTCTGTTTGGTTTGCAATGCAGTGGGGTAATTTTGAGAGCTCATTGCACCAGGATATCATCCATTTGCAAAGGCTGGGAAATCATCTGCCACGCCAGTGCACCTCGGCATCACGACCACGAATGCTGACAGCACCACTTCCCTGCGACATGGCTGAGCCCGGCCGAGCGTGACAGGCTCTCAAAGTGCTGCTGGGCTGCAAGGTGGTGGTGGTTTTATTTTTTTCCTTCAAGTTTTCCAACTTTCCCAGGAGGAATCCTTGTTTAACTCTGTCATCCAGGAGTGTGAAGGGGCCTGATCTTGCGGCAGTAGTGCCAGATGGTGGCTAGTGAGATTCTTGTGCATGTGCCAGCTCTGTGCTCATCTCTGTGTCTTAGCTTGGGCAGGTGACTTGTCTCCCCATCTCTGCCTCCAGCTCAGTAAAATGGGGAATTGACTGCAGCCTCTTTATCTGCCACCCCAAATGAAGGATGCTCGGCGTCTCCAGCCCACGTGCTTCGGTTCAGAGCAGGTACAGTGGAAAGCAAATTAACAGGGCAGGTTTCAGGCAGGTATTGCCCACGAGGCAGTCAACATGCCTGTCTCTCCTCATTACCGGTCTCATATTTAGCCTTTGTGCCAGACTCCCCCTGAGTCTAGCTGCCTGCGAAGGATGGGAGCTGTTTCTCTGGATGTCTGTCGGTGCCAACTGCTCTGACTTTCCTGGTGTTCCCACTGCTGTGATCAGCAAAGAAGGGCCCAGTGGTTCCATGGGCCTTTTGTTGCTCAAGGTGACAGCCTCCTTATGAGCCCTATAGCCCTTGGCTGGATGCTTCTTTCTCCTCTTGTCCTTCTGGCAACCATTTAATAAGCAAACCCTCCAGTGATGCTCCTCCCGGCAGGCCCACGATGTGGCTATTTGAATTCTGCCTTTTCTTTTTAACCAGGTTCGTTTTCTTCCTCCTCCAGGCCATTGGTAATGCCTATGGGAGGGCTCTCGTATCCTACTGCTGCCTTAGATGTCTGAGTGCCACTTCCCTTGCTCGCCCAGACGATTGGCAGACTATTTGTTTTCAGAGCCTGGCCTTTTATTTTGTATCTTCATCCTGCCCTGCCAGCAGCCCCGGAGTTCCCTTGCCAAAGCAAGAGAGGGGAAGAGTCGAGCTCCACGCGCTGGGATGCAGCTGGCACTGGTGTGAGATGGGAAGCGGGCTCGGATTTGGCCACAGGGCCCAGATGTTTTTGTTTTGATTTCTTTATTTGTTTGCCACTTTTCCTGATGCCTGCTGCTTTGCTCTGGAGGATCTCAGCTTTTGCTATAAACAAATCAATATTTAAAAAAAAAAACGGGGGGAGGGATAAAAGGTAGAAGAGGACACCTGAAGAAAGCAGTAACATTTGGAAATGTACACAAAGCAATGTGGTGATGTTTGCCTCTCAGCCTGCCGAAAGCTTGAAACAACAGCTCGGAGGCAGACTGAGGCTCTCCCTCTTGGCTGTCAGGCGCCTTCCTCGGCTGCATCCCCCAGCGGGCTCCCGGCGCGCCGGCCTCGCTCCCTTTGCACTTTCCCTCTGCAACCGCTAAGCGAACGCTATATGGCATTTGAATAAGTACCAAAGGCTGCGGCTTTCGCATGACTCCGGGAGTTGAGCGACAGAGCTGGGCTGTGGTGGCTTTACATTTTTGGAAGAGCAGCGGAACTGGAGGAGCTCTGCAGATCCTGCACGCTCCTAGGCTGAGCATCCGCACGCTATACGCGGAGGCAGTGCCTCGGTTTTGCATCTCCGTTAGGTGGAGCTGGGGCAAGTATCACCAATTTAAACCTTGCACGGAAACGTGGTTTAACAGCTCCCTGCCTGCAGTTCAATCTCTTTAATGAACATAGCTCGGCGTGAGGCGCAAGCTGAAAAATTCAGATCCCAATCCAAACCATGAATGTGCCAGCATTTGGGTGTGTAGGTCTGGAGCTGGAGTCTGACTCACTTGCAAATAGGGACCCTTTGCAAAACATGGATCAAGGTTCAAATTCCTGTCCCTCCTCCAAAATTAAATAAAGATTGAAGAAATTCTGAGAACTCAGTGTTTTGGTTCTGGGCCATCTAAGAGGGGTGAAGTATGTGCTTAAGTGCTTTGTTGAATAGGAAGAGACTTGAGCGTGTGCTTAATGTTATTAAGTGCTTAGCTGTTTTTGTTGAATCAGGGCCCCTGGCTTTTAAAGTCAATACTAACCCCTTAGGCTGCATCTGAAAGGATTTGGAAAAGAAGTGGCATCCAGATA